CCCTAAAAAATTTTAAAAATTGTACATAAAATAGATCCAAATTTCACGATAATCCGATTTCACGATAATCCGTGACATTTATTATCAAAAAGCTGCTGCAATAGGAGATGTTTGTGCGACTCTCAATCTTGGAGAATGTTATCAGAATGGAACTGGAGTAAAAAGGATTTAAAACAAGCTTTTGAATTGTACTTGGAATCTGCTAAGCTTGCTGATGTTGACGGAATAAGAAATGTTGGATATTGTTATCGAAATGGTATTGGAACAAAAAAGGATTTAAAATAAGCAGAGCATTGGTTTAGGATGTAAGTTCTATTTTATTTATTTATTTATGCCTTTAAAAAATTGATTACATATAATAAATTTGAAAATATTAAAGAAATTGGGAGGGGAGGATTTGCAACTGTTTATCATGCTAAATGTCTAATTAGTATAAGGGTTCTTATGGTAAACATTCGCTCGCAATTAAAAAATTCTTGATCAAGATTTTTTTGATGAGGTAAATTTATTGAGTTTTGATTAATAATATTTGAATTTATGATTAATTTTTATTTTTAAAGTTAAAAGCTTTTTGCGAGATCGGATATAAAAATCCATCTTTCTTAAATGCTACGGATTATCGAGAGATGATTCAGGAAATTATGCTCTTATTTTGAAATATGCAGAGAAGGGATCATTACGTAATAATCTTTACCAAGTATCGCAAATGAAATGGAGAGAAAAATTAAATTTATTAAGTTGCATAACATCAGATCTTGAAGCAATTCATTCGCAAGGATTAGAACATCGAGATTTTCATAGTGGAAACATTTTGCAAGACGAATTAGATAACGCGTATATTACCGATTTGGGACTTTCTAACACAAAGGAAGCGAGTAAAAAAGGAATGAGTGGAGTCTTATGTGGCACCAGAAATTTTACAAGGAAAACCATATACTCAAGCAGTTGATATTTATGCATTGGATATCATTATGAAAGAAATATCAACTGGAAGAAAGGCTTTCGATGGTTATAAATTTGATAGTGAACTTAAACTTGCGATAAAAATTTGCCAAGGATTACGACCGAAATTTACTTCAGATACACCAAATCGTTACGTTAAATTATCCAAGCGATGCATGGATTCAAACTCGAAGCAACGACCTACTATCCGATATGTTAATGCTTTGATTACTACATGGATTGAAGAAATAGAGAGCTCTAGTGATGAAAATAAAATAAAAAAACAATTTTCAGAAGCTGATAAAATTGAATCTAACTTTGACCTTGAATCACCAAAACATTCGAATAATATCTATATCAGTAAACCTATCGATATACAAGAAATTATGAATGAAATCCATGATGAATCATAAAAAGGTATATAGTAAAGTTGTATAGCCTATATTACTATATTGCAAGTTATACTGACTTTCAACATGATTTTTATATAGGCCCATGAAAATTTTAAACACTATTTGTTGGATAAAAATGTTAATAAGTCGAATGGATTTAAAATTATTATTTTTGGGCAGAGATTATTAGGTCAGTTGTACTAAAATTATTATTTGTTGGGCGAAGATATTATAAATTGGATGTATTTAAAATTGCTATTTACTGGGAGAAGACATTATTAGGTTGGCTACTTTCAAAACGGCGAAAATGCTATTTATTGCAAATTATGATATTTTATTTTAAATCAAATATAAATTAGTTATTGAATAAATCAAAAAATTGATATCGATCGGTGATATCGATTGGCTCGTAGTATGCTGTATATTTCTCGTTCTTTACGAGTTTCTTTTTTTTACGATGTTTAAATAATTGGCTATGACTATTACTTGTTGTATTGTTTGCTTCTATTTACTTCTTGATTGCATTGTTCGCTCTTCTTTACTCGTCACTTGTATAATTTATTCTGATGTTAGTATTGTTCGTTCTTTATCTTCCACTTGTATTATTGGTTGTGGCGAATTCGTGCCCTGTTTCAAAGGAATTGAACATTGTGCGTCTGAGTTATCAATCGTTAAAAGTTTTATTTAACATTTCAAGAGAAAACTACTGCGCAATAAATCATATTTATATTATATATAAATCAGTAAACTTATGCTTTTAATTAGTTATGCACGGGCTGTCATGTATGACCCGTACGATAATGTATTTATTATATGGGATTAATCAAGAGAAAAATTCTCTTGATATACCGGTTGTTGTACAACAATATTACTTGGATTTAATCACGTTGAATGATCGACACCGGTTTATCAAGAGTCCGATTTATCGAGAGTTGACCGTATTGCATATCTGACCAATAAATGTAAATCAAGAACGATACTTTGCGAATGGCCACTACGTATACAATAGGTTATTTCAGGGATGGCAAATGACTCGAAAAGACCTGATGACTCAAATGACAAACGACTAGTTATTGGTCATTTCAAATGCCTAAATGACTAAGAAGGCCATTTAATATATGTTATTAATAAAGTTTTTATATGATAAGACATAAATAATAATAGTAACTCTTTTAAAAGTCAAAATTTATTAAACTAGTCAATATTTACGCCTTAAGTAAAGCTTTAAAATTACAAATTGAATATACTCAAAAAGTCTCATGTAAAATAACTTTTTATTAATTCACTTTCGTACTTATATTTAAATGCGAAATGTGGAAGTGAATTAATAAAAAGCTATTCAGATTACATGAAACTTTTAGAGTATATGCAATTTGTTATTCCCGAGCAACTTAAGACATACTGTAAATAACGACTAACTTAGTAAAGCTTTAATTTATACTGTATATGGAGCTACGATTATTGACTAGAAACCCAACTTTTTTTAGTTATCAAATCAATAAAATTATTTTATGTGCAAATGACCCAATTGATAGGTCATTATTTGATGAATTGGGGTCATTTAAATTTCGATCAAATGACAGGTCATTTACTATCTTTGGGTTATTTCAGTTCTTCATTGAACTAAATAGCGTGAACCACTAAGAAGTTTTTCACCTTCACTAAACACCACCAGATCAGTATTTTTTTTTCATACTAATTTACGTTGAGGAGACATTTAATTCAAACATTTTTCAACGAACTTGGAAGTTATAAATTTATTATCGTTTATAATTTTTAGCAACCAATTACTATAATCTGCCGTTATCAATATACTTTATAGTATTTATCAATGATTAACTATTAGGAAAGCAAAATCTGTTGGAGTCCGGAGCTCCACTAACAGAAATGTGAACATGTAATTGAACTACTAATTAAATCATAACATCATTAAACATTTATTATAAAATGCATCTATGGTGGGTTTGCACTTATTCTATGTTTTTATTATATTCTTTAGAACTTTCTAAGTTTTTAAACAAAAAATTTTCACATTAGGGTTAGGTTAAGGTTAGGGATTGTGAAGGGTTTTTTGTAGTGATGTTATTCTGCTCCAACCGGTTAGTTTGTGCTTAAAAACCCCGTTTGAACACTGTTCGAAGCATTTACAGAAAACCGATTTTCGAACTTAGTTTATATCAATGTAATAAGTTATAGTTATTAAATATACCAAGCGTGTAATAACAGCAATTTATTGTACGGGTCTTATGTAACAACCCGTGCTTTTTTCACTCATTTACAGCACGTGTTTAAAAAAAATAACTAAATCGGAATACTTTCATATTTTATCAAATATGAAAGTGTTCCGATTTAGTTATTTTCATTGAATCAATTGATATTTACTTTTAAGAATTGTAATTGGATGGAATTATAACTTTAGTAGGTTTTTACCATTTTAAAATTGTATATTAGATTAATTAGCAATGCATAATAAGATCTTATTTATTCAGCAAATATATCTAATATGTAAAAAAAAAATCTTTACATGAAAGAATAAAATCTCGCAAATACGAATTATATTATTTACCAAATGTAAGATTTAAATTTATAGTCAAGGGTTTGTCAGTGAGTGGGATTTGAAGTATAATATTGTTGGTAATGGATTCAAGAGCATTTCTGGGTCGAATATAGATTTGTGCAGTATTTGAATGATCCGCTAGTTCATATGATTGATTTTTTTCAGCATTATTGAATTTCTTAATAATTTTCTTGAGCGTTATATGATTGATTTTCTTGAGCGTTATATGATTGATTTTCTTGAGCGTTATATGATTGATTTTCTTGAGCATTATATGATTGATTTTCTTAAGCGTAATATGATTAATTTTCTTGAGCGTTATATGATTGATTTTCTTGAGCGTAATATGAATGATTTTCTTGAGCGTTATCTGATCGATTTTCTTGGATGTTATATGATCGATTTTCTTGGATGTTGTATAATTGATTTTCCTGAGTGTTATAAAATTGATTTTGTTGTAAATTAGATTGCTGGTGTTTAGAACTTGAAATCTTTGCTTTCTTGAATGGTGGTTTAAAAGGTGTGAAAACGGTTGATCTTGATTGTGACTGTTTTGTAGTTTTGCGAGTTTTGTGTAATTTATCTTGTAGAACATCGCTAATAATACTATTATTAGATGTTGCCATTACTTCTATTTCAGATTCAGAACTAGCCGTAGTAGATGTTACAGAAATTTCTAAAATAATATATAACAACAGATAAATAATAATAATTTAGCAGTTTTGTTTAACAATAATAAATATGTAGTACCACGTTCTAATATTCTTGAATTTGAGTTAGCGTTAAATATTGTCATTTCTATAGATTTAGATATACATAGTTAAAAATATAAAAATCTTATTACCGTTACATATAGTATATTTAATTTAAACTTTACCTGTATCCGAATTATCTTCTTCTGATTCGTATGTAAAATAAGATTCTCCAGGGTAATTATAGTATTCTTCTAGATCTTCTTCGATTGTTGCAAATGGTATAAGTGATGCAACAGAATTTAGCCATTGATCATCTGTAGGTTTACTATAAGACCTGATACCCTCACGTGATCGGTGACCTGAAAGGCCATTAATTCATCTTCAGGTGTATCGGATGCTTTTAGAAGCATAATACTGTAATAGCAGTTCGTCTTGCACTATGATTTGTGATCTT